TTTAGGTGTTTAATTTCTCTCAAACTTGTATAGTTTTATGTGAAGAAGTCTTACAAAAACATTTATTAGATTTATTCTTAGGTATTTACGGTTTTTAAAATTCAGTTATAAATAGCATAATTTCACTTTATAATTGATTTTTGTTGATTTCTAGAAAAAGTTAAAAAAAATTTTTTTTTAAGATTTTTATTGGGGAATTGGTGGATGGGAACAGCACTGGGGAATTGGGGGAAGGGGAACAGACAAGTTGCTGTCCTTTTGTTCTTCAGTCTAGTTGTGGAGGACATTGCTTCACTGGCCCAAGTTGGCACCATCATTGCGCTCTTCCCGGTCGAGGCAGATCAGTCGCCGGCTTCTGGATGGCCACTCACTGCGGCTGCTGGCCGCTCACTCTGGCTGCTGGCTGCACACGGTAGCCTATGGCAACCCACTGCAGCAGGGGCTGCAGCCATTGCAGGCAACTCACAGCAGCCCAGCTCCAGGTTGAGCTGTTGTTCAGCATCTCAGCTGTGGAGGGCAGTGTCACTGGTCTTCATATGTGGGATCCGAACCAGGGCCCTCTGGCGTCCCAAGCCAGCTCTTAACCAACGCACCACTCGGCCGGCCCTAGAAAAAGTAAATTTTCATGTATTGACTTTGTGTCTATCTACCTTATTAAAACTAAATTCACTCATTAATTTTAATAGTGTTTATGTAGATTGTCTTGTTTTCTGTGTATATAGTTGTGTTATAGTTTTCTGTGCACAGTGCAAATAATGACAATTTTATTTCATTCTTTTTAATCTTTACACTTTTATTTTTTTGTCTTATTGTATTGGTTAGGATCTCTAACATAGTATTTAATAGAAGTGATAACAACAGTTATCCTTATTCGTGATCCTAGGGAGAAAGTTTCTACTGTTTTACTGTTAAGAATTATCTTTGCTGTGTGGTTTTTGTTGTTTTTGTTTTTTTGTAGCTAATCTGATAAAGAAATTTCCATCATTCCTAGCTTTTTATAATTATTGATTTTCATGACATTTCTTTGTGTCTATTGAGATAATATTGTTTCCCTTTATTAATGTGGAGAATTATATTGATGATTTTTAAATGTTAAACCAACCTTATATCCCTGAAATATAGCCATCTTGTCATGATTTATAATTTTTATTTATATATTGATGTTTTTACTGATGTTTAGATTATTTGCATCAATGTTCATGATTGATTAGCCTGTAATTTTCTTTTCTTGTAATGACCTTTTAAGATTTGAGGAACAGGGTTATGCTGGCCCAATGAATCAAGTTAGGAATTGTTCTGGCTTCTTTTTTCTCTGGAAGAGCTTTTGTAAGCTCAATGTTATATTCGTCTTTTGTAATATTTGCTAGTGAAGCCATCTGTGCTTGGAATTTTCTCTGTGGGAAAGGTTTTAATTACAGAATTAGTTTATTTAATGGCTATTGGAATATTCAATTATATGCTTCTTTTGTTTGTGTATTAGTTTTGGTAAGCTATTTTTCCCTAGAAATTTGTTCATACAAAATTTCAAATTATTTCATGTAAGATTGCTCCTAATATCCTCTTACTATCTTTTCAATGTCTGTAGGCTCTGTAGTATCTTTTCATTTCTGGTACTGGTAATATCTATCTTTTCTCACATTTCCCTGATTTCGCCTTGCCAGAGATTTGTCTGTCTTATCAGCCGTTTTAGAGTATAAATCTTTGGCTTTATTGATTTTTTTCAAATTGTACATTTGTTTTCTATTTCATTAATTTCTGTTCTTATTTTCATTATTTCCCTTCTACTGTTTCTGTTTTTGGTATGTTCGTCATTTTATAAGATGAGCACCTCATTGACTCTCAGCCTTTTTGTTTCCTAATATGGGCATTGTACCTGTCACTATCCCTTAAAACTACAGTCTTAGTAGCAGCCCACAAATTTTCATGTAAAGTTTCATGATGTATTTCATATAAATATAGATGTTAACCTATCATTTAGATATGTTAAGCTGTGCTGTGTTCATCCCAGAATCAAGCTTTGTACTTTACTATTTAATTTTGGAAAACTCAAATCTTCTTTATTGTTTTGCCTTTTCTGTCTCCTCTGGGAATTACTGCTATTTTCTTACTATCCTCATAGATATGGAGTTTTTTCCCAGCCCTATGTTTTCTAGTTTGTATTTGGAAATGTAGAGGTTTTGCTATAAATACATACGTTAAAATAACGTATATGCTTTTTAAAACCACGTATTGCCTGCCCTTTCCAAAGCCCTTCCTCAAATGAAAAAAATGGTCTCCTTTATTGTCAGTCTTTATGCTTATGTGACATAAATGTGGTTGGAAAATTATTAGACCACTTCCTTTGTTTCAGTTTTCAGTACCTCTCTATTGGTAGGAATGAAGTATCTGGTCTAAAGTGGAAATATTGACAAGTATTGCCAGATAGCTATTCAGGACATGAAGAAGAAGAGTAGGAGTGTTCTGGTCTTTTGGGTACTTTAATTTATGTAAGGTTTTTTTAAAAACTGCTTAAATTCTTTCTGGCCACCAGCATACTGTTTACACTGCAGTACCATATTACTAAAGTTTTATTTAATTAGTTTTCTATGCTATTGCACCATTTAACTAAAAAGTATGTTGGGCAGTGAAGCAACCTAATTTAACATAAACTTTAGTTTTGTGTCAAGAGCTGTGAAGGGTCTGAGATTTTACCCTACTTACAAGCTAAGACATTTCCCAAGTGCTTGCAGAAGACACACTATTCCTGACTCAAAGGAAGCTATGACGTACGGCAGTGGAAGTAGCCAGAGCTGCAGCATTTGCACCCCTTCCCTGAGCCTCCATTTTCAGAATGACACACAGAGGCCTAGGTGACATTTGAGTCCATACAAAGAGGCATCGCAGGAGGAGAGCCCTGGACCTAGGGAACATGAATGTTTTGGAATGGACAGTAAGCAGATGTGCCCTTTGCTTTGAAGGGAGGTACTTTCTTTCTCTTGTGTGTACAGACATCCTTGAAAAGATCATCTGGAACAGGCAGGCAGTGCTTCCACTTCAAAGATGAGCAGAAATGTGAGAGAGAAGTTGTCTTTCAGCATTTTGGAAGGCAGGTCAGCATTTTGGAAGGCAGAAACACCAAATGGGTTTTTGTAAGATAAACCTAAATAAGTGACTTACAGATTTTAGATGGCAGAAGATGGTATAAGAAATTTTCCTGAGAAAATAGTGATTTTTTTTTTTTTAAGATTTTATTGGGGAATCGGAGAAGGGGGACAGACAAGTTGCTGTCCTTTTGTTCTTTAATCTAGTTGTGGAGGACATCGCTTCACTGGCCCATGTTGGTATCATTGCGCTCTTCCCAGGTGAGGCAGTCGCTCACCGGCTTGGATGGCGGCTCACAGCAGCTCACCAAAGCTCACGCCCGCTGCGGGCCAGCCCCACTGCAGCCTACGCCGTCGCCAGCGACTCAACAGCAGCCCAGCTCCAGGTCGAGCTGTTGTTCACCATCTTAGCTGTAGAGGGCACAGTGTCCCTGGCCCTCATGTGGAATTCGAACTGGGGCCCTCCTGCTCAGAGCTGGCGTCCTAAGCCAACTCTTAACCAACGCACCACTCAGCTGGGCCATATTTTTTATATATAGCGTCAATTTTCTCTTGTGTAGTTTTTTTTCCAGTTAGCCAACTATCTCAGAGACCTCCATGTATATGAGACACTGATAGTTTCCTGGGAAAGATTGCTATAGGTCTATTTTCTGTGTGTCTTTGTGCTATTCGCTGGTTTGGGGAGTTTGTGTCTGTCTGCTTTGCATCAATGCTTCTGTTTCTCTATAAAAGTTCAAATAAATGCAAGCAAGTAAAATGATGATTATGGTAAAAATTCACTGATGCATACAGAGCATTTTAGCCAAAAGACATTAAAAACTGATGGAGCTAGCTGGTGTCCCAAAGCAAGTTCAGATATACTGACTGGATTTCTAAGAGGTCTCTGAGACTAAAATTCTTCAGCGTGGAAGTTGATTGCATGCTGGCCCCAAAATGCACCTCATTAAAAAGACCATATGGCCAAGAGCACGTAGGGAGTGTGCTGCCCTTTGGACTAGAAGTCTTTGCCGCAGATCAGAGGCTTGAAATCTGACCACTTAGTTGTGGGGGGAGGAGGTTGGGACAGTCAGTTCTGTCAGTGTTTAAACTCCAAGCAAATAGCAAAAGCAGAGAACTTACTAGCATCTTTTACTTTCCATATCTGCATCGTCTCTCTAAGTTATATCGGATCTCTCTGTTTGACTTGGTGGACCACCTTTTTGGCTCCTGCAGTATTTTGCTGTTCTGATTCTACCTCTCTCTTTCCTGCTATTCATTCTCCTTTTAAACCACCATTTCTTCCTATGCTCTTCCGATGATGGGCTTTCCTGAGACTGAGCCTCCTGCCTCATTCTTCCATTCCTGACCCCTATCTACCTCCCTTTATGGGGCTGTTCCCTCCTATAATGTCAGATCTCATGTGTATGCACATGACACGGAAATTGGGTTCTCTCTTGAGTTCCAAAACCACATTTTGAAACTGCCAACTGAATATTTCCTGTAAGATGTTCTGCCAGTACCTTGCAAACTAGTAACTCTGTTTTGAATACATTAGCAAGACCAGAGGCAAAGGTATGCTATTATTTTGATATTTTACCCTTTTAAAAGAAATTGCCCAGATTACTTTAATGAACCTTTATGATCTTTTTGTGATATTGTTTTGTAAGTTTTATTTACAAATAGAATATCTGTCTTTTCATTAATCGTATCAGCTCGTCACATTTTCACTGCTCAGACTTAAGCATTGGGCATTTTGCCTTCATCTGTCACATTCTTCCATCTTCCTCCCCACCCTCCCACCCCCATACATACACACAAGCACAACACATTTTAAATGCTGTAGTATACATGAGGTTTGGGGTTTCGGTTCTTTTTATTTGTAATGTTTCAGTCTGTATTTACAGGTAGAGGATAAGTCTTGTGTTACCTTTCTCTTTGCAGGTCTCTATGCCTTGAAGAGAGTCCTGAAGAAGCAGCCTACCCTCCCTGACAGCAAGGTGTCTGGGCTGGTGAAGATCACCCTGAGTGATTTCTTGCAGGGGATGAGTGCCATCAGGCCCAGTGCCATGAGGGAAGTGGCAATTGATGTCCCAAATGTAAGTCACTTGTTTCCCCTTGCTAGCCACACTGGGGGAATTAAACTCTGAAAGAAACAGACTCTAGGAAAATTACCTTCCTAGGCGAAACTTTAAAAAAAGGTTTTTAAAGTTGACATTTTCATGGAGATAGTTGTAGATGCCATACAGTTGTAAGAAACAGTAGGAGACCCTGTGCATCCGTTACCAGTTTCCGCAGTGGTAGCATCATGCAGAACTAGAGCACAGGGTCACAAGCGGGCTATTTCTATTAATGTGATCACCAGTCTTACTCCGATTTCCTGGTATTACTTGTACTTGTTTATGTGCATGTGTACGAGGTATGATCAAACAATATGGTGAATGTGTAAATAAAAATGTATTACAGTAAAAGACACTGCCATGAATCCCCCTCAAAACAGTCCTCTTCCCTTCAAACACACATATCCCATCATTCTTGCCACTTTCTGAAGCAGTTCTGGAAGTCCTCTTTCGTGAGTGTCTTTAGTTGCTCTGTTGTGGCCGCCTCAGTGTCCTGAATCAATTCAAAACATTTACCTTTCATGGTCATTTTGACTTTGGGAAAGAGCCAGAAGTCGCACGGTGCCAGATCCAGTGAATAAGTTGGATGATGTTTTTATTTGACAGAAATCGCCATACCAGAAGCGATGTGTGACACAGAGCCTTTCCGTTGTGATCACAAAATACGGTAATGCTGCTGCCGAGTGTTATCCAACGGAAAGGCAGCGATATTCAATATAGGAAGCAGTGTGTCTAACCTTAGTAACCTTAGTGTGTGACAAGTTTCAACTTGTTTGGTGCAGTCAGTTGGGTGTGAGCTACAGTTGAGAGAAGATGTGTTTTAAAGTGTGCTGTAAATCATCCTCCATCATGACAACACTCCATGTCACACATCGCTTCCGGTATGTGGCAATTTCTGTCAAATAAAAACATAATGGTGTGTCCTCATCCACCTTATTCACTGGACCTGGCACCGTGCAACTTCTGGCTCTTCCCCAAAGTCAAAATGACTCAGGACATCAAGACAGCCATGACAGCGCAACTAAAGACACTCACAAAAGAGGACTTCCAGAACTGCTTCAGAAAGTGGCAAGAATGATGGAATAAGTGTGTTCAAAGCGAGGGGGAATATTTTGAGGGGGATTAATGGCAATGTGTCTTTTACTGTAATAATTATTTTTATTTAAACATTCACTGTATTGTTGATCACACCTTGTAGTCCTGTGCAGTTTTATTGCATGTAAAGGTTGTGTATCCATCGCCGGAATCGAGATGCTGAATGGTTCCATCACCACAATGGTCCCTTGCTTTGCCCTGGTATAACCACACCCACCTTGTTCCAGCACCCGTTTCTAAAATCCTGTGATTTCAGAAATGTTTTATAAATTCAATTACACATGTAACCATTTGAGATTAGTTTTTTTTTTCACTTAGCATAATTCCCTGGACATTTATCCAGAGTGTTATGTGTATCAATAGTTTGTCTTTCCTATTGTTTTCTATTCCCTGGTACGTACCGTAGTTTAACCATTCACCTGTTGCAGGATATGTGGGCTCTGTCCAGTTTGAGGGTGTTATGAATAAAACTGCTATAAGCATTCTTGTGCACGTTTTGTGTGAATGTAAGTTTTCATTGCTCCAGAATAAACGCCCAGGAATACAGTTGCTGGGTTGTGTACTATTTGCATGTTTAGTTTTATAGGCCAATTTCAGAACAAAAATCTTCTAGTTATGCTGCCTTCTAATATTAATGGTGCCTGATGTTTCTTTGGTTCTTTTACATACACTTTCTCATTAACAGACTTTGCAAAGTTCTCAGTCAAATCACAAGGCAACAGTAGCTGCTTTTTATGTGTGGATAACCTGCTGTGCCCGCCATGTCACAAGTGGGCCTGATATTCAGGAAAAAAATGGCCTGATAGTTGCCTTTGAATATATTAATATTTCTAGAAAATGAACTATGTCCTGCATTGTGTAGCAGTGAGGCTGGGCCATTGAGCTTGACCTGATTATAGGAGAATGTCTGTCTCATGTAGCTTGAGGGAAATTTATAGATTGCTCTGTCAGTTTTCAGAGCGCTCTGATGGCAGAAGGAAATTTTGTGAGTGCTCTTCCCTTTTGCCTCTATAATATCGTCCCATTTCATTTTCTCTTATGAGGCAGTCCTGTTGCTTCTGAGACACTCTTGTAAAATCTCTAGCAGTACAGTTATTTGAAAACTTAGAGCCTTGTTAGTCAGGCATAGTTTTGAACCCTTGGCCTCATTGTGTATAGACGTGTCAGTTTTCACAGTTCTCTTGGTCATTAAGGCTTTTTAATTGTTATAAGCTAGAAAAAGAAAGAGTCACAAAACATGGTAAGTCTGGAGTAGACCACGGAGTGCTATGATGAGAAGAAATCAGTGGAATTGTTTTCATTTTTGAAAGTGACTTGTTCCTTAAGTCATTCTATGGTTGGGGAGGCTGGTTAGCTCAGGTGGTTAGAGTGCAGGTTCATATCACCAAGGTTGCGGGTTCAATTCCCACATGGGCCAAGGAGCTGCACCCTCCACAACCAAATTGAAACAACTACTTGACTTGGAGCTGATGGGTCCTGGAAAAACACACTGTTCCCCAATAAAATTGCTTGAAAAAAAAAATATATATATATATATATTTTTTTTTATGGTCAAATAGGTTTGGGAAATGCTGATTTAAATAAAATCAACAGTGTCTCTTTATGCAGGACTTCTCAGAGTCTTTTAATGTGCAAATATGTATTATAAAGTGTCAAAAGAGAGCTGTTATGGAAATTGATTTTGTCATGGACCACATAGAGCAGAGACTTTTTGCATTTTGCAATGTGGTAAATTGCAAAAAACAACCATAAGTCTCCCTATCACTGTGTGTTTGCCCTTTTGCACTGCAATTTTATAGTTCCTATCATAAAAGAGATGAATTCAAATTTTCCACTCTTTGAATCTGCACTTGACCTTGTAACTTTGCTTTGGCCAATAGGATACGTCATGATGCAAGCCGGATTGACAGCACTTGGGGCTTGTCTTCTGGTTGCTCTTTGAAACCCTGCATTAACCATATTAAGAAATCTGTACTAGCTTCCTGCAGATGAGGGACCATGTGGAGCAGAGATGAGCCTTCTTAGATGAGACCCCTCAGTGCAGCCCTCCTGCCAGTTGGCAGGCATCTGACACCATACTAGACTATCCCACCCCAATTGAAGTTTGTCCAGACAAGAAGAATGACCCAGTAAACCCTCATAATTGTCAGAAATAATAAATGTCTGCTGTTTTGAACCACTGTACTTGGGTGTAGTTCACAAAAGCTAAGTGGTGCAGACACTTGTTAACTTCTTATAGAACACATTGTTTTGTAAATTTGGGTGGGGAAACGGTGTCCTAGAGATAGGAACATTCCCAAGGACTAGCTGCTAGCTTAGCTACTTCATGTGGTTTTGAATTCTTTTTGAAACATTTTCAAATTCACAACCTCATTTATAGTCCACCTTTGGGGTTTCTCAGAAGCTCTGAAGCAGAACATGCTAATTTAGTAAGAATCATTTGAGAAATGGAGTTATGGAGTAATGAATGATTGATGTTGGGTTAGAAACTTTTCATTTCTTTGGAATTTATGGTCTAAAATTTGGGCACATTGGTAGGACTATACTATTATTTGTAGTATTTATCTGTGTTTTGTTGGCTACTGTTGCCTTGGATAATGGGTCAGGGAGATACTTAGCCATCACATGTCACATGTGAAAATTTCAGGTGATAGGTTATAAACAGACTACACCATCTGAAAACACTTCCAGTGTTTAAAAAGTGTAGGAACTAGGGGAGCATATAGTAAGGCTTTAAACTTAAAAGTTGCTGCCAGTGGAGAATGTGTTTAAACAGTGGCTGTCAACTCTTGGAATTGCTGAACTGATTTATTCGTCATAGGAACTGGTACCACAACTGCATTTTTAATTGCTCTAATGAAAGCTTTTTTTTATTTTCTTTTGATACTGTATTTACAATCCATGGACTTGTGCCATTCTCCATTTGGCACTTGGTTATCTGGCCTCAGGCCATGGCGGACTGCAATGTTACTCATTAGCTCTAGGATGCTTAGCCCTGGGCAGAGTACTTGCTTATATAGCTTTTTTTTGCTCACTTCAGATTGTAAAAAATTCCCTGAGAAGTCAACCTTTCTATAATTGGATTCCTAAACTTCACCCTTCTGATTTCTGGCTAGTACATCTACAAAAACATCTCCAAATTATTTCTGCAGCAAATTTAATACTTATTTTGCTGTAGAAAACCTGTTTCAAGTAGCTAGTTAATTGTGAACATTTTTTTTAAATAGTAAATTGAGTATTCAACATATTTTGAGAAGATTTTAGTGTGTGAAATTAAAACCTTGAACTCACACTTGCCTAGTTATATTTAAGTTTGAAAGAAATGTCTTAAGATGGGAATGTTGCCTATTATAATATAATGCATTAATTTTGGGAGACTGTAATTGTTAGCCACTTACTTAAATTAATGTTTCCCTTTTTTGGACTTTCTGAAATGGTGATTATACCAGTTGGTGTATTAAAAGTTAAATGTATTTTACAAATGGTGATCAAAGTCAAATGTATTTCTTTACCACCAGAATCCTTATAATCTGAATATGATAATATGCATTATGAAGTTTCAACTTTTTACCAAAGAAAACAACTGTTAATATTTTGTTATCATTCCAATAGATTTTTATAGATTTTTTTTCTGTGCCTATGGATTTTTTTAAATATAGTTAATCTAAGGTTATAGTTTTATACTCTGCTTTTTTCACTTAAAATTATATAGTAAATGTTTTACTTTAAAATTTATTGGCCAACATCTTTTTAATGACTGCATAATAGACTTATGTGGATAAACTGTAATTGTTTTATCCTTTTACATCCTCAAATATTTAGGTTTTCTTCTATTTTCCTCTAAAATGGTTATAAACATATTTGTGTCCAAAGCTTTGCATTTA